CACTCAATCTGTGACCTCTAGAATTCCAGGTGCGATCCATGTCCCTATCAGAATCACTCAATCTGTGACCTCTAGAATTCCAGGTGCGATCCATGTCCCTATCAGAATCACTCAATCTGTGACCTCTAGAATTCCAGGTGCGATCCATGTCCCTATCAGAATCACTCAATCTGTGACCTCTAGAATTCCAGGTGCGATCCATGTCCCTATCAGACGCACTCAATCTGTGACCTCTAAAACCCATGTCCTTAAGTCTACAGCCAACACTAAGTGTCCCCAGGCTGACACTTCTGACCATAACTGTTTGCCTGCYTTTTTCCACGCTTCTCCTTTTGAGCTGATGGCAGTCTTTTATCCTGATCGTCTGGCTCCTTCTGATCTTGAGCCACTATGTTCTATCTATTCTGGACTGCCATGTTCTCCTGATTCTGAGTCAATGCAACCAATCTTTCCAGGTTCATCAAATCCTTCAGATGCCAAGCCGATGAACCATCTTTATCCCAAGCYACCATATCCTGTAAATCCTGTGCTAAGGCATCCCTTCTATCCTGGGATGCAAGACACCTTTAACTCTGAGCTGTTACCTCCTAATAAACCTGTTTTTCCAAGTCCTTACAATTCTGAGTTAATGCAAGTCAGCCATCTAAGGCCACCACATCCTCCCAATACTGAGCTAACACACCCTCGTTACCTTGGGCAGCCACTTCCTGTCATTTACCCTGAGTTGCCTTCTTCATTAAATCGAGAGTTTTCCCTGCCGATCAACAACAGACCACCATTTCATTCAAACATTTTGCATCCTGTTCACGCTAAGCCTTCTGTCCTCTTTAATCAAGATCAACCCAACCCTGTAAACCATGGGGCACCCCATCAAGCTCATCAGTACCAACCTTCTTCCATCTACCGCAACCTCCATCAAACATCCTCCAAATTACCCCACCATAGTCTCAACAGGCTGCCCCACCCTCGCTTCTCCAGACCACCCTACCCTGTGTTTTCTGGACTACATAAACACCTTTCTGGTCCACCCCGTCCGTCACCCCACAATCTTTTATCTGTGCCAGATCCCCAAAATCACTTTGTTAATCCACCCTACCATTTTATCTCTAAACTGGCCCCTCAGCCATCTTCAAGGCTGGTTCACCCTAAATCCCCTGTGTTGGTCCAGCATCCATCTTCCAGGATACCCCGTCGCCGCCCATCTGGGTTGGCCAATCCTATCTTCTCAAGGAGACATCAGCGACCCTTTGTTAGAGTGCCCTTTCAGGGTCGATCCTTTCCTCCTGTCTTCATCAGACCTCCACATCAAGTAAAACCAAATTTCTTTCAAAGTGGTACCAGACACTGATCACTCCTCAACCACCCAGTAAGAGATAAGATTTTCTCTATCAGCTCTTTTTGTTTATTGTTTGTACATTTTATCTTTCCAAAGAAAAATTTCAGTGGTTTCATGTTGTATAAGTTGCAATGATATGAAGCTACACAAAATGAGCAAGAACTGCTGCCAAATGCCACAAACTATGAACCATTGACATAAGATTCTACCAATACACCAAAAAAACAAACTTTGTTTTTATTTTGCCTTCTAAAGAATTATGTATTCATTCTGACAACTTTGTAGTTATATTTTCAATTTTTTTAATTTGTTGATGTTGTAGATCTTCGGTGCACTTCACTTTTATGCTGATATGTAAAATACTTGATGTTTTGTATAAGCATTGGTTACCTCATTTATAGCATTAAACTTCATGCACACAACTGGAACTAGCTTTTGTCTTCTTGTTCATTGGTTGACCACTTGGATGATAAATGTGTCTTCATTGTGTGTTGCTGTATAATGATGAAATCTGTGCTCTGTGTTTGTAAGATACACCCAAGTGGAGAAGCTGGTGGCCGTGTATATACCTGGGAAGAAGGTATGTGAATGTCTTGCTCAAGGACACTATGACAAATAGGCATAGCGGGGAATTGGTCTGCAACTTTCTGGTCTCAAGTCCAAGCTACTACTGCACCACAGCCACCTCAACTTTATGTTGTGTTCATTTCAGTCTCTCCAGCATTTTTGGTTCAGGTTCAACACCTGTCAGAAAGCACCACTGCCACCCAGTGGACGCAAACAAGACTTCTAAATGTCCCATGTCCCTTTGGAAAATTACAAGACTAGACTTTATCAACTCACGGGTGACATAGGCAGTGTTAATGTACCTATATGCACTTTATTACAAAGCATTTTAAGCATTCACTCAAGTCATACTTATTAATAAGTTCAGTCTTAGAGGAACTTCTCTCATTGTGTAGTGATGGCATTGAGACRATCAACGATCTCTGCTGGAGTCATCAATAAACTAYAACTATGCCTCGGCCAGTAAGGACAGATCAGCCTTCATTTTAGAGATTATGTGGTCTGCATTTGTCAGCTACATGAGAAACAGCCTATGAATTGGGACAGCACTCAGCACAGTGCAGTGACATAAGCCGTCCATCAGTTTTCTTCCTCTTATCCAGGGTCAGGTCTCGGGGGCAGCAGCCTCAGCAGAGACCCAGACYYBCCTCTCTCCAGACACTTGGACCAGCTCCTCTGGGGGAATCCCAAGGTGTTCCCAGACCAGCTGAGAAACATAGTCCCTCCAGCGTGTCCTGGGTCTTCCTCTGGGAGAAAGAACCTGTGATTCCTCATTACTTTAAGTTTTGAGAAGTGTGGAGAGACCGACAGTCTCTTACCAAGAAATGCTAAATTTAATTACTTTGTGGCTAAAATCAAAACAAATTCTAAAATTAGCAAAGCACATGAGCT